GAAAATTGGCGTTGCCTAAAGTGAAGGAAAAGACAAATCTGACCTGTTTGAGAGGAGGAGAGAAACATACAGAAAAAACAGATAAAACCAAAGTGAAAATTTTATGGTAAGTTCTCGAATTTCATATCTATTTATACGCGAAAACGATTGCCTATTTCAAGTTGTAGTTTGAAACGAGTCATAGTTGCCTCTTCCACGACATCGACTCTGAGAAGATTCCGGTATGGTTTCACTATCGTCTCCATCTCTGCCTCTTCTCTATCTCGAGGTACCTCTATATATAGAGATAAAGAGACACTTCTAGAGTTAGGGTTTACTGTTTAAGGTTTGGGATTAGACCTATTTCCTTTGAAAAACTTAACTAGGCTTTAATTCCATTATTCATTGGGAGTTTCTATTGGATTTTTTAGGCTACAACTGGATAAGGGATGTTATATGCTTGTTCTCAGAAAATCAAATCATAAATGCAAACAGAAGTTCTTATCCGAAAAAAACTATCAATTTTTCGACTTTGATTTTTTTGCGATCCTACTATTTTGCTTTGATAATTTAGTTAAAAATATTTGATAAACAAGAGGACAAAAGAAACAAAGTATATCCATCTTATTAATTCAAGTTTCCATTTTTGATACTTTTAAACTTCTCTTATGAAACTGATTTCATTTTTAAGAAAAAGCCCCCAAATTCTCTTATGGAATAAACTAAAAAACCTCAAATCACTAATTGATACGTGAACAATCTCTTCGGATCTCACTAGCATTACCAGTCAGAACTCCAACACGACCCAATTTCGTGATCGCTGAGACAAAAGCTTCTCTAAAAGCTCCTTCATTGTTGGCAAACAAGTTAACAGTAGATCTAGACCGTTGATCCGTGAACAAAACTTGATCAGATGTAAATAAACCCTTTCCTTGTTGGAGATTCTTGAAGTAAGCGTTGTCAAAAGTACTCGGCGTGGTTGGATCCATGTTGATCGCGATCTGTGGGTCGACCCCGATCGGACACATTTGTCTAAGCTGAAGTGCGTATTGACCATTTAGACTCGGGTCGATACGAGTTCTAGGGCTAAAATTGTAAATTCTCTTTGAAAATTTTCCACAATGCGCGGATCCGAGAGTGTGTGCTCCTGAATCACAATAAAATTTATAGATCACAAAATTTTGGTTACGTCTTAGTACGTTGATTAATAAAGATTGGGTTAAAAGTACAAAAATGAATACGGTTGGATTTGGTTTTGTACGTACCTGAGAGGGCTATCATGTCAATTTGAGAGAGATCGTGACGGTTGAACATGGTATTGAGCTGGTCTAGGTTAAAACCAGGCTGAGGCAGATTGTGTTGAACACTAGCCATTGTAGATAATCTGCCGTCTTTCCTCCCTAGCTCCACCGGGTAGTTAGGTCCTCCGGTCTGCAAAGTTTGATTTAATATCAATTATCCAATATAAATATTATAATCTATCAAGAATTCGTCTATATGACCTGTTGTTACTTACTACTGTACTTGCATAATATAACTACTTTTTTTTTGTCATCCGATCAAATATATATAGAAGCCGAAAGGCACAAAGAGAAAGGATTACATTGTTCACGGTTTACCACACCGGAGAAATAGCTAAAACACATCTAATACCATAACAAGCAAGACTAAACCAACACCATCACCAAGAACCATAGAAAACCTCTTATTGCGAGTTAATTATACCTCAACATCTAAAACATAAGGGAATACACTTCGGTACACAAACCAAAGACAGCGGAAATAACCGAGAACCACGCTAATGAAGACCCTTTAGAAAAGGCAGACCCCGAACAAGCCTAGTAAGTAGAAACAAGGAGTGTAACACTTCATAACCGGATGAGCCACGATCGTGAAGATAGAATCTGATGGACGGATCTGGAAACAAAAACCAGTGATGACGAAGGGAAGAGACCTGCATTGTATAATATAACTACAAACCGCCAATAAAAGGTACCATGCATGCTTTTTATATTATTATATGAGTAGCTTTAATTTGCCTTGGACATTATATAATATTATTAAGGGAAAGAAGGAGAGGAATATTAATTTTATGTAACAAAAAAAAAAAGAGTGCTATTAATGAATACCAAAACGACGACTTCACGAGTGGCTAGAGCCAAAATGTCAGCACATGAGACTTTGTTGCGGCAGTTAGGATTGCTATCAACGGCTTGCTTCGCCTTCACCACCGTGTCGAATCCGTCTCCGGCCAAGGACACGTCATCTGGATGATCTTTTTCCGACGGAGATGCTATCAATATCGAAGCATCACATCCCTATGCATAATAAAATAAGAACGTATACGTAAAGATATATAACGTCTTGTTTGGAAAAGGAATGATACATTTTTTTTTGCTAAAATGAATGATGCATAGAGAGAAACATCTAGTGTCTCAAGCTAGAGATTAATTAAACATTAAAAATTTACATTGTAAGAACATAGTATCACGATTCTTCAAATTTTTCCTAAAAATGATGAATAAATTTGAACCAT